CCCCTACAATCCTCACCCTCCTGTTCAAATCCCTCCCTCCCTATCTCTGTCACCTCCTCCAGTCCCCTACAATCCTCACCCTCCTGTTCATATCTCTCCCTCCCTATGTTTTGCAAAACGGTCGCCAAGCCTACGCTTCATTTTCCCCAATGTAGAGGAGACCACATTGTGAGCAGCAAATGCAGTAGACTGGATTCTGGGAAGTGCAGGTGAAGTGTTGCTTCACCTGGAAGGTTTGTTTGGGCCCTTGGATACTGGGAGGGAGGAGGTAAATGGGCAGGTGTTGTACCTTCACCGATTACAGGGGAAGGTGCCGTAGGGCTGTGGAAGGGTGTTGGGGATGAAGGAAGTGTGGACCAGGGTGTCCCAGAGGGAACGGTCCCTGCGGAAGGCGGACAAGGGAGGGGAGGAGGGGAATGTGTGTCTGGTGGTGGCGGAAATGGAGCCTGATGATCTTCTGGATGTGGATGCTGGTGGGATGGTAGGTGAGGATAAGGGGAACCCTATCGCTGTTGCGGGAGGGAAGAGAAGGGGTGAGGGCGGAAGTGCGGGAGATGGGTCGGACCTGGTTGAGGGCCCTGTCGACAACGGAGCTGGGGAATCCTTGGTTGAGGAAGAAGGTGAACATTTCGGAGGTTTCCTTGTCGAAGTTGGCCTCATCTGAACGTATGAGACGGAGATGGAGGAACTGAGAGAATGGGATGGATTCTTTATAGGAAGCGGGGTGTGAGGATGTATAGTCCAGGTAGCTGTGGGAGTCGGTGGGTTTGTAGTGGATATTAGTGACCAGTCAATCCCCAGAAATAGAAGCAGAAATATCGAGGTCAGGGAAGGGAGGAGTCAAAGATAAACCAGGTGAAAGTGAGGGCAGGGTGGAAACTGGAGGCGAAATTGATGGAGTTTTCCAATTCCAGACGAGAGAGGGAAGCAGCACTGACAATATCATCGATGTATCGGAGAAAGGATTGTGGGTGGGGGCCGGAATAGGACTGGAATAAGGAATGTTCCACGTACCCCACAAAGAGACAGGCATAAAGACTAGTTGGGCCAAAGGCTGTTTTAGTGCTGTATGACTCTATTACAAGGAGAGAGAACCACAGACAGAGAGATAGAGAGAGACAGAAACACACGGAAATGGGAACAGAGATAGAGGTATGGAGAGGGGAAAGAGGAGAAAGAGAGAGAGAGAGATAGAGGGAGAAACGGAGAGTTGGAAAGAGAAAAATGGAGAGGGAGAGGGACAGGGAGTGGGTGTCAGACAGACAGAGATAGACAGGGAGCCAAGAAGACAGACAGAGAGGGAGACAGACTGGTGGGGAGGGGTCAGAAACAGATTGCATTGGCCTACAGTATTCTGCAGTGAGGGCGGACAGGGAGGACAAGGTCAGAGCTTCGTTCTGTGGGAGGATCTTTCGTGATTCATTGAGGCAATGAGGGGGCGTCGCTGGGCCAGGCCAGCATTTATTGCCCATCTGTCATCGCCCTGGAGGGCAGCTGAGAGTCAGCTACGTCACTGTGGGGTCTGGAGTCACGTGTAGGCCAGACCAGGTAAGGGTGGCAGTTTCCTTCCCTAAAGGGACATTAGTGAACCAGATGATCGTCATCAGACTCTTAATCCTAGACATTTTTAATCGAATTCAAACTCCACCATCTCCTGTGGCGGGATTCAAACCCAGATCCCCGGAATATCACCTGGGTCTCCGGATTAACAGCCCAGCGGTAGTACCACTAGGGCCGCCCCATGACGTACTGAAGGTTTGGTTGAGTGACGGGTGGGGGAGACGGTGCTGGTTGTGGTGGGGGGGTGGTTTATTCCAGTCTAACGAACACGGCGTGTTTGCCGATAACGGCCCTCACCTCGAGCAGGATGGTGAGCTGGGCCGTCCTGTAACAGTCCCCATGAGAGTCCAGGCATTTCATTAAGAACCTAATGGGGCAGAAATCGACAACGTTAGCATCTGGTGAGAAGTCCTAGACAAACAGCCTCTAGCAGGTCATCCTAAAGCTCCCACAGAACTGGCACAAACAGAGAGGGGACCCTCTCTGATTCAACCCCCTTTCTCTCTCTCTCTCTCTCTGTAACCCAGGGATCACTAGACAGGGATCAGGAATCCTATCTGATTCCCCCCTCCTCTGTCTCTCTCTCTCTCTAACCCAGGGATCACTAGACAGGGATGAGGAACCCTGTCTGATTCCCCCCTTTCTCTCTCTGTCTCTAACCCACGGATCACTGCACAGGGATCAGGAATCCTGTCTGATTCCCCCCCCTCTGTCTCTCTCTCTAACCCAGGGATCAGGAACGCTGTCTGATTCCCCCTCTGTCTCTCTCTAACCCAGGGATCACTGGACAGGAATCAGGAATGCTGTCTGATTTCCCCTCTGTCTCTGTCTCTAACCCAGGGAATACTAACCTTCGTTCTTGTTTCAGTCTCTGAGTTATTTTTGCAACACACTCTAAGCGGTTAAGTAGCATCTCGTTCACCTAAAATGGAAATGGAATAGTTGATCGTTAATAACAGCATTGCACTGAATTCTAATCTCCGTCTGTTTTAGCTCGACTCCAATACATAGTTGGATATTGCACACAGTACATGAACACAGTAGGCACTGGGTGGGGGGGTAGTGTTGGCTGGATTATGGAGCTCAAGTCCCCTAGAGTATATCCATCTCCCTGTGGTGGGAGGCGGAGGCTGGGACAACACGGGGAAAACAGTGGAAGTCCACCTTTACCAACTCAATTTCCTTGCAGCGGCGCATCAGGGCGTGGTATTTGCGGCGGTACGCCTCCCTGCGCCTCCCCAGCGCCTGTTCCTCATCCTCCTCATCCTCCTCCTCCTCCTCTTCCTCCTCGTCGCCCTCCTCTTCGTCGTCCTGCACGTCCTCCTCTTCGCGGCCCCGGCCCTCGTGGAGCCCGGAGTCGGTGAACTCCACCTCCTGGTCCAGCTCGCTCTCCAGGATGTGGCCGCCGAAGAGCGGGGGCAGCGCCAGGTCCGAGCAGGGGCCCGGGAAGTCATCGAAACCCACTGCCGCCATGCCGGACGCCCACTACGTCGTCCTCCTTCCTTCGACCCCTTTCGTCTCGGGTGCTTGTGGGCAACGGGGAGAGCGAGGAACGAGGGAAGCGTGCCTGTAGTGGGGTAGCAGCGGCGGAGTTATAGAGGTCACCGGGCGGCCAATGGGGAGCTGCGAACCGTCAGGGAGGGGCAGCCATCTTGACCTGGGCTTGGCGTCACTCTGCGCTAAGGGGTTGGCGGTGGATGAAGTGGGCTACCTTCCCTCTGTATCAGCGTAAACGTCTCTCTCGGGGCTCAGAGGCAAAGGTTACATAAAGAAAGGTGAAAAAAAGATGGCTTTAGAGATGCTCTTGGGCGCTCATTCCTCCATGGCCCTTGGTCAACCTGAACAGAGGTCAGAGGGCAATCCTCCTCCCACCCCTCCCGCCCTGAGAAAAAAAAAGTCCCCTCCAGAACAAAATGGCGCCGGGGCAGCGAAGGGCGGGTATTCGCCTGTGACGGACTGCACTGCAGACCAATCAGACCTCGAAGGCCCCTTCGCCTCCAATGGGTGCTGACCGTTGCGGGGGTGGGACGTGCATTGTCAGTTTGACGGACGGAGATTTTGTCCAACCGAAGCGTGGAACATCCCGCAGAAGGCCGCCGCTAACCAATGGGAAATAAAGGAAGGGTGGGACTGTGCTCTTGCCTTCGTGGAGCGTTCTCCTCCACCGATAGGCTCTTGCAGCTTGACTGACGGCAACTTTACCCAATCAAAGCAGGGCTTTTCTGACATGTCTGTCCCGCCATCCAATCGGTACGTGTTTGCATCCCCT